CATTATAATTTTCTTTGGCGTATTTTCTAATTGTAGGCTCGTACTTGCAGCGGGAGTAGGACAAGTTGGGGCTATATAAGGAATTTTCTTCAAATTGTGACTTTCGAGACAACTAATGGAATTTTCCGGAACATCCAGCTTTCTTTTTTTCGATGTACACGATGTTTTACAATCACTACGATCAGCCAAAAGTAAATAATTTACCTATGTAAATGTATGTGTATTTATATATTATATGAATTGAATTTGATAGATTACTGCATTTGTAAGTTTATCGAAATTCTAAAATATTTTCAAGTAGAATAATATTGGTGTCAAAGGTAATAATAAAAATGTTTAATCTAAATTTAATTACAGCCAAACATTACCACCCACAGGTTCAAGGTTGGTACTGTAGTGTCGGTTGATTTAATACACAAAGGTAAGGACCCAATATTTTGTAGTCTTTTTAACAGCACGAGTAGTATTTACAATATCAAAAGATACAACAAAGTACAGATTACTAACGTAACTTATTTTTTATTTCTTTAATCCATTAAGAAGAGGAAAGAAACAAAGGACACAGCAGTTTTGCGAGTTTTTGAATAGGACAACTGTCATTATCTACTAGTTTGAGTACATTCAACTAATTATAAATAATTGGAGCAGACCTCCCATGACACAAGAAAACGATTCTTTGAAATCTATCTCCTCCGTAACCCGTAGGCCAATTTACACAATTTTTACGGCAATATTTGTAGCTCAACGCAGACAAGGATTGTAAACAATAAAAATATGAATATGATTTTTTTTACTATCTAACTAATTCGCTAATTTACATCTGCGCAATGTCACACCATTTGATTGAATCTTTTATAGTTATGTCTTTAGACTTTTACTCCTCTCCGTTTATGATGCTAGCAAAAGGCTCTGCATCAGCCCTAGTTTTATAGTTCTTAGAAAATAGAAAAAGATTTAATCTCGAATTTTTAGGGTTATATATCGATTTACTGCATCGATTCAGTACTATATATCAATTTTTGGCACAAGAAATTGATTCTTAGATTATTCGATGTGAAATCGCCATGCCTGCTGTTGTCCCGTACTTTTAAATGTACAACTAACAATGTCGAAGACTTCTTTCGATATTTGAAACATGGTCGGATTAAAATATGTCGTTTATATAAAATAAGTAATAAAATAAATGAGTGCAAGTAATACTATACGGGGTAGAGCCGTGCTGCAGTTATATTAGAAGTATAGTTGTAGCACGAATGGGTCGCTCGACCGGGGAAGGACCACACTTTAACAGAATACCAGCGTGAAATAGTAGCTTAATGCTGCTGTATTTCGTATGGTGAGTGTAGAGAACCGGAGACCCTTTTTACAGGAAACGAGGCATTCCATCTTAGTCCTCACGGGTGACAACGCATCTGCATTTTGATTCGTAATCGAGGATAGATGTGGATGTCTATGGGCCACAGCAACCACTACGATCAAGTGGACTGTGTGCTCGTTTGTCACCCTATCCTATAAAAAAATACTAATTTGAATAAAAAAAGAACCATCAAAACCGGTAGTAGGTAGTTTCGTGCGTTTCCCATCCGTATGGTTCACTTTTCATAATATATGACTTTTATATAGAAATGGCAGCCACGTGGCAGCGGCAGTAAATTATTATCAAATATTAAATTTAGTGGTTTTAACACATGTTTTGTTTACTTAACGGTGAAATGATACTACAACATATTTTTTCTTCGCAGTTGAAGAGTTTTTGCATGTTTTAAGACCATCTAAACACATTGTCTCGCTGAGCGTAGGAGAGTTATCTATATGGATCTGCAAAAAGTATCGATACCTGAGTAGTATCGATACTTTTATTTCGATACCTAGTATTTTTGTACTCGATACTTTTATTAGAGTATTTTACTAAGTATCGATACTTTCTTAGTTAATCGATACTTTTGTCTCTTCACTAAACTGTGATATAAAAGTCAGTAATATACTTCCTTCATCAGTCCTTTTCCCATGTATAGTGTCTCGAATCTCGATGGAGTGAGGATTTTGGGGAAAACTCTATTATAGTTTACATAATGCATGTGAGGCCGAGTAAATACATTTTATAAAATTAATAGCAATATCTCGTAATTTTGATGAATGAATAATTTATAAAATGGAATCATAATGCAAAATATTTGGAATTAAATTTCTTTTTATATGATAGTATGACAACCGAGCACACAGTCCACCTGATAGTAAGTGGTTGCTGTGGCCCATAGACATCTACATCTATCCTCGATTATGAATCAAAATGCAGATGCGTTGTCATCGGACTGCCTCGTTTCCTGTAAAAAGGGTCTCCAGTTCTCTACACTCACCATACGAAACACGGCAGCATTAAGCTACTATTTGACGCTGGTATTCTGTTAAAGTGTGGTCCTTCCCCGGTCGAGCGACCCATTCGTACTACAACTATACTACTAATATAACTGCAACATGGCTCTACCACGTAATCTATAATAATGTGTAAATAATCGTAATGTGTTTCATTTGTCTATTGATGTTGTTTAACCCTTAATAAGGCATCACAAATAGGATAGTTATAGAAGTGAGCAAACTTTCGTATGTTGTTTTTTGAGACAAAAAATAGTCAGTCAAGATTCGCTTTCCACGCTACTTGACGCACTCCGAGTTATCGTTAAATTCGTTCAGTTATATTTTCTAGTTTTCGTTGATATTCATTGTTGTTTTTGTTGAGTTTGATTGTTATTTGTTTGCGTTACGTTTGATTGTTATTTATTTTCGTTAAGTTTTTGTTACCAACGTTGACATTTGTGATTGATTGAACAATGGCAATGACGTGACTTTCTGAATATATGTGAGGTGGTATTTTTGTAATTTGATTCTGATATGTAACAATTAATAAAGACAAATTTTAAAATCCAGTGTCATATGTACACTTGCTCCTTATTTATTTTATTAATATTTTTGACATTATTTCTACTATTATTAATTAATAATATTGAAAAAGAATAATTTATAACAAAAAAAGTCAATAAATAAATAAAAATCGATGTTTGAGAACTTGTTTTGCCAACCGTACCATGTGTACCCGCCGCCATTTTCAGATCCATTCTCTATCTGCGCGGCCTATAGTTCCTTAAGTCGATAATTTGTTTTTTTTTACTTCTGGGTTTTTTTGGAAATTTATGTGGGAGCTATTATACCTTTGCCCAAGTAAAGTGACATTATTTTAATGTGATTGAAATTTTGAAATATTTTTAAGTATCTTATTTTCTTCTATAGTCACATTATTATAAAAATAAATAAATAATTTACTGACAAAAATATTTAATTATTTATTATTGTATGGAACGACTCCCAACATGGCACAAAGCAGAGTGGCAGTTGACATATCTTGCATTCGAAGTATGTTCTAACTCCTTTTCTCTCGCACTGCAAAAACGGCATCTCTTATATGAGCCCTTTTCACCGTGATGCTGACCAGGGCTTGAGAGCCGAATCTCATCGGATATTCCAAAGACACCACCCTTTTTCTTTATGAAATTGCCTGGCGTATGTTTTCTTTGTGAATAAGTAAATTTTTCAATATGTAAAATGTTGCAATGTGTATTATGAAGTAAATTTAGACATTATTTCAGGTAGAAAATTTTAGGGCAGAACATGTCTTTCAGTTTGCCATTTTTTTTGACTTCTCTTGATGACAGAAACTTCAGATGGATTTACTGCAGTTGACAAAATATGGACATCTTTTGTATCGTGCCATTTTATACATCCGACTGGAGAGTCACAGCGAAAAGTAAACTTACCGGGAGCAAGCTTGGGTTGGCTAAAGTCATCCGGTACTTGATTTTGATGTTTTTAGTCTAGGAGGCTTGTTAGGGTAGAGCTTGAACCTATTACACTGTTTTTAGTTGGAGGAAATGCGTTTAGAATTAATTACGATAAAAACAAATTTCACTAAAACCTGTGTAATAACGAAACGCAAATATGTCAATTTGTTCTTGTATTATGAAGTAGATGTCTGGTACTTGATTTTTAATTTTGTTTTCAATTTATGAGGATTGTCAGGGTTAAGCTCGAATCATTTACACTGTTCTTGGATTTCAGAAATGCCTTTTGAATTAATTACGATAAAAATAAATTAAACTAAAAATTACAATAACGAAACGCAAATATGTCAATTTGATTTTTTAACACAGATAAACTCATAAAAAAGTTAATCAATCGGACCCAGACAATCCATTTGGCTGGAGACGGGAGTTATACACAACAAATTGAAATTCGCAGTGGGGTGCAGTCAAGGGGTTTTTCAGAAAACAAATAAATTACATTATTTCATTTACCACTATCATAGCAGAGTATAGGGCAACCAGACTTTATAGATAAGATTGGACAAATCTGTTCTAAAACTGACTTAGCACACCCCAACTCCACGTAGTCTTGTCTGCCCTACCCCTAGAGTGTTTTTGTAAAGCAGTAGGCACGGAGGGAGAGCAGCCCCCGCCCGCTGTAGCAAATCGCAGGCACCTAAGTGAGCCGTAGCGGCTGAGGCTGGTCGCCGAAGGCAACCAATAAGCCGAAGCTGCGGAGGCGAGCATGGGTGCCTGTGATTTGCTACGCAAGGGCGAAGGGGCTGCACTTCCCGCAGTGCCGAAACAGTTGCAGAAGTAACTTTGCGTCAATATTCCTGTATAAAAAAGTGAGGTTACGATTTACAAAAAAAATTATATTATTCATAAACTATACATTTCCGCAACAGGGGAAGGGTAGGGGGTGCTTCCCACGACCCCCCCCCCCCCCCTTCCCAACACCGTACGGTCGCTGCAGAAGTAACTTTTTGTAAATATTCCTGTAAAAAAAGTGAGGTTATAAATTTACAAAAAAAATTATTACTCATAAACTATACATTTCCGCAACGGGGTTAGGATAGGGGGGGCTTCCCATGTCCCCTCCCCTCCCCTCTCTCCCTCCCAACACCGTACGCGAGTACCGGACGTCTATAGTTTAACCGCAAGCTTCATCTGTTCTTTTTTCTTCATTTTCATCTCTTCACTGTACCCAGATTTTTTTGAAGTGGATTCTTCTGGCATTCCTTTCCTTGTCAATCGCACTGTGCCAACACTGTAAATATTTCTTTCATATAAGATCTCTATTAGGGGAATGCTAGTGAAGAAGTTATCAAACACAACTAAAGAGCCAGCAGGTACATTTTTAGTTAGTTTCAAAACAACTTTGTATCCCAGACCTTCTTCACTTGGAGCCTTTTCTTGACATTCTAAAGCCTTGACAAAAACAACATTTATTATGAATACCACTGACAAAACGGAATCTACGACCGGACCATGGCCGTATATCTCCCACATATTTCCAAGAGTCAAAGACAGTTGACTGTAACATTATTCGTTAAAATTTGTATGCTCTTATAAAGTCACATTTCCAATTAATAATATATTAAAAAATACCACGGCTCACCTGTTCTTATTTTCTAAATAAATAAGTTTTTATTGCACAGCACTGAAAAACTAACGACAAAGACCCATAGAGATAATAATACTTATATAAATCTGTCGGTCACATTTATTCGCCAGATAAGTTATTTGACGATTGAAAATTCAGCCCTGTTTCTATGTACATACCTACGGAATAAAGTAAATTAAGCAATAAATCCAATTATATAAAAAGAGAAAAAATTCATATTAGTTAAAATATTGATATCAGCTGCGCATATTGCAGAGTTACAACCCTATAAGGCGGCCCTTTTACGCGCCAGATTTTTGTAGGTAGTCACGCTAATTTTGTAGGTATGCCCAGTCCATATACTTCTAAGTCAGTGCAAAGACCGTTACCAAGAAACGTAGACAGAGAATGCTATAGACAAAGTGATATCTTTTATCGCAGTCACACAAGAGAAAGAGCAACTTACGCCGATGTCGTGTAAAGAAATGAGAAAGAACCATGAGATTTTTTGTTTCGCTTAGCGTGTCGACATTTTTAATATTTAGCAAACCACTTTGCTAAATAAAGTTTGACAGCTAACGTGTAGTGTGATAAATTCTTTGTATAAAATACGGTTTTATGTGTTTTATGATAAGTATTTCATATTATATTTTGTTGTGAACAATTAAGACGTAGTATTCCAACCATTTTTATTTAAAACATGGTGCGGTGTAGTGTATTAGGGTGTAAAAGTGATAGTGAAAAGAAAATGGCGGGGTTGTCTTTTCATTCGTAAGTATACCATACTATCGGTTACTAGGCAGTCTGTAACATTTAATAAAATACATAAATTGTGTATAATGTACTCTAGACGTAAATTTATCGCTAAAAAGTACAAAAATAACAATTGCAAATTTTAACCTAAAATCTTCGGTGTGGCCAACTTTTCTATAAGTTATTACCCACTATTATAGGAAATAATAATATCTGCGTACCGAAGGTGTATTATCCTAAGTCCATTTTTTTCTACATTCACTTTGTAATGTCATTGAAACAAAAAAATATCGATCTACTTGGTGGTAAAGTATTTTTAAGTCCAACTAAAAAAACTACATGCTTTTGAACTCGTTAACATGTTTTAAGTCCAGGTTAATTCAAAGGTATACAATCTGATCTGGATTTATGCTTTTGTTCCGCTCAATTATCAAAAACAAAAGCATCCTAAGTCCAAATAAGATGAGAAGTTTGTTTTTGAACGTAAGTTGCACTTTATTATTTATATTTATTTATTGTATTATGTAAATTGTGCCTTCGGCTGCGCTTGAAAAGGGTGTTCCAAGCACATCTCAAGATGTACCAAATTCTATATGCCAGAATAATTTACAACAAATTCATACTTAATAATCTACCAAAAAAATAAAAGATCGGAATAGAAGTACAATAGAGCAGACAGGAAAAAAGCGAATAAGAAATGATCTTAAGCTTACATGAACAAAGGTGCTCTGCTTGTTTGGTTCTGCAGAAATGCCACAATCTCCTAGCGGAATGACAAAGAGATGTGTAAAATATTTTAGGAAAATTGGGATCAAAAATTACTGTTAGCGGTAATTCATAGTAACATCTAAAAACCTACAACTAGACAAATACGAGACTCAGGAGGAATCTAAGTAGGATCAAATACTTTAGGATCATTAAGATAACAAAATCTGGACAATGATTTAATTATCCAACAATAAGACTGGGGTGTATTCTTGAAAACGAAAAAAACATAAATACCACTGAAACGGACCTGATAGATTCCCAAATCTAAAATGCGATATTCTATTGGAAATTTGGATAAACCATTGTGTTTTTGAAACTGCAATTCCGGATACTTATGTGGGATGAAACGAAATCAAATGGAATTGGAAAAATAGTTAATCTGGTACAGGCACGACAAATCAGATTGTACCAGTATTCCCAATTAATTATGAATCCAGAATTGCGGTACTAGAAGTTAGCAATAGAATGAAAGGGGTTGTATCAGTAAATTACACATGTTTTGAACAACAGATTCGGCAGATAAAATATTCTAAATAGTCATATTTTAGCCATATCCATAATTTTAGACCGACGTTTTAAAAACTTATGCCTTACGGACTCAAATTCATGTGCATGAGCAATTTCTTTCATAAAAAGCACTGTAACTGATGACTCGCCACCACCACCGTTTTTTGGAACCATCACCGTAAATTAGCTTAAACCTGACAAATCAGGTACATGAACTTGGACAGAGACGAAAAAGCTCAGTATGTGCCTTATAAAAGGATACGTTTGAGCAATGGGCGCAAATGAAATCGGTTTTCTCGAAATTATACTCCGTTGCTAGTAAATATCTCATAAAACCCGCAACTTCAGTGCCGTCAGAAAGATTACTATCCAAATCAGCGGTAACGGTAACAGCGGCCAAGGGTAGATAAACTACTTTTCACAACAGATTGCGACATAATTGGGGGTAAAATAATTAGTTGTTACTTATACATTTTGTAATTTAATTTTCTAATATTTTTAAAATAATTCTTGATACCAAGTAGTATCGACGGCGCAAAAATGTTGTACTTGTTGGAAACGTAAACAAAACTAATGCAGGTTATTAGGAATAGCAAGGTGCGAAACTTTTTTATAGTTAGATTATATATTTAAGTAGACAATATAGTTTTAAAAATTTCTAGCAAACCAAAAAAAAAATTTTCAATTATTGTAAAATGTAGATTTAAATTTAATAAATGCTTTCTGGGTCATGTCTTTGCTGTATGGGTATTTATGATTAGGCCCAGTTTCTTTAACATATTTGTCGGTATTAATAACCATATTTTTTTTAATTTACAGTAAAACTAGTCACAAAAAATTAATAATTAAATTAAAATAATATGCATACTTTACTTACATGCATCTGTAATAAATAAAAAAAGTTTTATTATAACACTAGCTGTTTTAAATAACATTAAAGTACACTCTGAATCAAGAAGTCTTAATTAAGACTACTACACAACGTTAGTATAATATATCCTATTACTATACATACCTTGGGACGTTTCTTTTTCGGAGAAGTAAAATCTTTTTATATTTCTCTCAACGTACTTGTATGTGGATCCATCATTAACTACTCTTTATGAAAAAAATTATAAACGAAACAAAATAAGAATAGTTTAATAAACAACGAATACTAAAATGGCTTCCCGAATGTTGACGAACCCGTCTTGACCTTGACATGTTTTTGCGGGGAAAACGAGACGTTACGACAAATACACAAGATGGAAAGCGATAGATAATAGTTTGTCAACTCCACAGTCGTTTTTAAGGTAAGTAACCTCTCGGATCGCTGCTAGTTGACCGTACTATATGTAATTTAGTACAATGGATCAGAAGAGCTAGAACCCAGGGCCATAATGCCAGTTAAATAAAAAAAGGTTACATTTTATTAACTATTAATTTATTAATTATTCACGGCTGGTAATCATTCAACAATAATCTATGACCGTATAAAATGCAGTGAGCAATTCATTACACGACGCGACGTTTCCCTCGTCCCTCGCATTTCCTGCCCCTTTCCTCAGTCGCCATTTTGTTAGTTACTGTCGCTTAATGTATGGAGTGTAGAGAAAGGAGTACAGACTGTGTATTAAAAAGTGTCCATAAAAACCATTAAATAAGGGTAACGCCACTATAAGTACGGGGTAAATTTTAAAGAACGCACCGAAAAATATTAGTGGCATAAACCATTTTTTCGAGGTTATAATATTTACTACATAAAATTATTTTAGATTTTAGAGCTACTGAGCAGTTTAGCACCACACTTAAAACGTCGACAACTGCTAAGTTCATTTCATCCCAGTAGCTACTCCAACGCTGTTGTGGAGAGTTTTTGAGCTGTTATTTACTGCTTACAGATGACCACTTTTTCAACTGTTCTACTATGGGAGTTGGTATTCCTTACTTCTACACTCCATAGCTTCATCATCATCATCACAGCCCTTCACAAGTCCACTGCTGAACATAGGCCTCCCCCAAGTAATGCCACAAAGCACGGTCCTGAGCCACCTGCATCCATCGACTTCCTGCATATCTTACCAGGTCGTCACTCCATCTAGTGGGGGGTCGCTCTACACTACGCCTACCGGTACGAGGCTGCCACTCGAGAACCTTTCTTCCCCATCGGTTATCGGTTCTTCGAGCTATATTGCCGGCTCATTGACACTTCAGCTTACTAATCCGTTGGGCTATGTCGGTCACTCTAGTTTTACTGCGGATATCCTCATTTCTGAGTCTACTGTCTGGTCGACTGTCAAGTCTGAGTCACTGGCAACACGCACTGGTTGTACAATCTAGTTTTTAGAGATTGAGGTATACCTGACGAGAAGATATGTCGTAATTTCCCGAACGCTGCCCAGCCGAGTTGAATCCGTCGATTGACCTCTCGGTCGAAGTTGGACTTACCTAGTCGGACTATTTGTCCCAGGTAAACGTACTCGTCAACAACTTCGAGCATAGTGCTCCCAACAACTACCGGCATAGGTGTGACATGGACATTAAACATGATCTTTGTTTTGTCCATGTTCATCTTAAGACCTATCCGTTGGGAGGCACTATTGAGGTCGTTGAGCATAGTGCTTAAGTCCTCCAGCGATTCTGCCATAAGGACTATGTCATCGGCAAATCGAAGGTGAGTGATGTACTCGCCATTGATGTTAATACCGTATCCTTTCCAGTCCAGTAGCTTGAAAACGTCTTCCAAAGCAGCGGTGAAGAGTTTCGGGGATATAACGTCACCCTGTCTTACACCTCTCTGCAGTTGGATAGGTTTCGAGCTCTGGTTCTGTACTCGGATAGCCATCGTAGCCCTACTGTACAAACACTTCAGCACTTCGATATACCGACAGTCAACTTG